CCCCCCCGAAAACACGTACTATCACGTTCTGTCAAGCCAGCCCAGACTTCCGAAAATGCACCGAATTTTAGTTCAGTTTAGCTTAAAGTACTGCTCCTGAACTATTGGTCCGGGAAAGATCCTGTAATGATCATGGCAGTGAAAGGCAATATAATAAGACACGTGAATTGGAAAGCACATTAAGACCGAGTATACGAACACCGGTTTCGACGCACAGTTGAGCATCCACTCGAGAGTGTACAAATTTGAAAGAGAACATGAAAAGAATACGTGAGGGAATTGGGATCGATGGTAAACCCGGGGATGCGAAATGACTCGTTGTTCCTGTGGTTATCTCGCAAGTTTAAGGGACTGCACCTACCTGATGAGTCTCAAGAAGGGTGAAAGCGGTCGTGAGCTATCGGAGAGTTTTTAGCAACTTTATGAGTAGCGCGTTACGTATCTGATTAGTGTATCTCATCATAAGATTCTGATTATGACGTTGCGAACCATTCATTTTACATAAATCGAGGTCCTGCGTCAATAAATTGATCGGTTACATGCAACAACCTGAAATATACCTCCGCTTCATACAATTCTCCTGTGTTGAATTGTTGATGTTGTGTGAGGTATGTTGAAAACATGCCTCCTATTTGAATTGTTATCTTTCAAAATTAGCTAGTCTTTTTTGGATGTACTCTGTCCCGTTGCAGAAAATATGTGATCGCCTTGCCTTGCTGAAAAGCACTTCATCACAACGCAAACACTCGTGTCAACCTACAGAACAAAGCAATACTGCTATAGGTGCTACTATCATGGATCGTGTTTACACCTTGATCTTCTTCATAATCTTCCAGCTCCAAGTGAGTCTACCCCACAACTTGCTCCGTCTCAATGCCTGACCTTGCCCGTTAATCTGTTCTACACTTAATGAGTGTCTTGTTGGAACGCTGGATCCCTTTGCAGGTGGGATTTTACTCAATCGCGTTAGACGAAGTGTATGTCATGCAGGACACACGACGGGCCTATTAACCACTCGCAATAGTGTCGAGTTCTGTCTGCATAACAGGCTAGAATTTTTCCCTGTTAGGTTGAATAAACTGAACACACTTAAAGTTTGGTGGCGGTGTTATTTACTAGCCACTTTGAGTGACCAACTCTGTCCTACGGGATGGTCCTTAGGTATTGATAAACCTTTCAAACTCATGTCTCTTTCAGTGGTGCAAGGAATGCATGTATTGCTTAGCTAGGTGGAGGACCCTATGTATTACCAATTATTATGTTGGATGGGGGCGAGATAGACCAAGTGGTTAGAGCACGGAAGGTCCGTTGTTCGAACCCGACCTCTGCCTCTCGACTTCCCCTGTCTAAGCTTGGACGACCTGGCAGTATCCAAGCCCTCATGTCTCCGTGTGGCATGGCCGCTAGGCACCGAAAGGGTGCCACATCTGAACATTTTATGTTGGCGCAATCAGACCACGTTATCCCTCTGTCAACATTGCTTGAGTGCACGGCTGCCGTGCCGTCCGTAAGAAGCACGAGGACGGAGGTCTTTTAAGGTTGTCCAGGTATTGCCTTCCTAGAACTTTAAGGCATCTGCGGCACGTTAGTAATGACCCTACTGTTGCTTGAAACCTCACGCTGTTGTAGAATCCTCACTTTTCTGCGAGTAGAGCCGCTTCAGCAACTTGAATTCATAATCGCCATCTTCTGAATGAGAATAAGGTCTCCACTACATTTTGTGAAACGTATCTCCCTCATGGATAATCTGAAAACACAAGTATACATAGGATGCTGGTCGAAGCTGATGCACTTTACCAGGAACTCCAGATGTTTTACAGGTGGAATCGAGGTTCTCAGCCCCCTCCTTCGAGACGGATCCCCATGTCGTATGCATAAGAACAGTTTTCCTTAGCCACGGACAACTACTGGTAATGTGCGTGTGTACGTCACTTTTATTATCATTTATTTTTGAAGAGCATGACGGATCCCCGTATGCATAAGAACAGTTTTCCTTAGCCACGGACAACTACTGGTAATGTGCGTGTGTACGTCACTTTTATTATCATTTATTTTATTTTAGCATGGTCACAAACATAAAAAATGAGTGCAAGCGATGAATGCGAAAGAGTAACAGGAGAATATGGGAGAAAAAAGAGAAACGTCTCATTCGAGATCATGCCAAGGGCAGTGCCAGTCTGATGAGGTGAATCCCAAAGTATGTAAAGATTTTGGTATGGGAACACGTTTCTAAATACCAACAACCAAAGAAAGGACAAACAATGGTGAATGCTCTTCAAGGCGCAGTGTGCGCTAGCACAGTCAAGACTCGCACATCAGGCACAAAGTGACCGTCATACTGGGTCTGGTGTGAGATTAAATGGCAAAAATGTACCTTCAGCGCCATGTGCCATGCATAAAAGTGTCATAAGTACGCAGAGAGCTCACAATGGCAAGCAAACACAAGTCACTGACTGTGATCTTAGGAAGTCCCAGTCCAATAACAGTCTTAGCGGATTGAGGAAAGCAGATCCCTCGATAAGAGATGATCATCGGTTGGTGAACCAAAAAGTCGATATCACAACCGATGGCATGTAGGGCTGAGATTATGGCGAGGGAATGTTCATCAGCACCATACTTCTGCTTCTTCTCATTCCACACTATCACTCCACGCCCATCCGAGACTATGCTGACGTCTATTGCAGTTGCGCGGCGATCTCGAACAGCGATTAGGTCAGGTTTGATGAACGACGTAGAAGTAGGGGCTCTCAACTCCTCGAAGACGGTGTACCCCAGTCGGCGGAGACGTTTTGCAAGTTCCCTTGCAACCCGATTATGACGAGCACATCTGGCTAATTATTCGACATATGCAATGACTTTCTAACTGCCATGATTTGATGCAACTTGCACACTCTTAAAGCGTGTGACCTGCATATCAATGTCGCGAGCGGAATCATGGACAGCAGCGTACCGATAGTGAATGCTAGGGTAAATGCCCTAGTGTGTAGCAGGAAGAGATGCAAATGGGCTCACAATAAAGAAACTCCTGTTCTCAGGAATGAAGCTAAAGAGCAAGGTGACCTATACTTTCGGATAACAGTAAAATACGCACCAGGTCGGGTTGGGATACAGTCAACAAGGTCGATTCAGCGTCCCTTGCCCAACACAAGCGGAGCGCAAAACAACAAGCCCTAGTTAGGTAGTCCGATTAGGAGGGAAGTGGTAACGTGCTCACCATTTGGATGTGCTATTTACTCTGTCCTGTGGGACGTCCAGTCAGTTGTAAGAAAATCAGCTGGTCGCTTTGATCACCATTGCTTCTGTCCTCCTGTGAAGGCTATGAGCTGAGCCGAAATTCCGTAAAAGGTGTGCTGCGTTTCGTGGTGTGATCGTACCTCTACTCCCTAGGAGCTTCTAGAGTATCACCACACTTGTCATAGACCCACGGTAGTGGCACATTTGGACAGTAAGTTAACCTTCCATTCATTGGTACGGTGGCCCTACGTAGCTGCTTGCTATCTAACAGGAAAACTATGCTGTCATCTTAGGCACGGCATGCAGCGAAGCTAATTAAAAAAAATTCTGACATTTGACAAACTCTTGTCGCCCTTGAATCGATTGCGTTTCTTCCATGTATCTATTCCATCTGGATTCTACCACCGATGTCATCTACCTTAAGATTGTAAAACGCGAAATTGACGGCAGGTTGATACCTCTCCCGGGTACAGTAGTATGCAGACGATATTGTTTTGCATGTTGAATGCACTCAAAGCTTCCAGAACGCACTTGACTCTCTGATGGTCAAAGTGTATTGGTCTAGCACATGCTTGGTGCCGAAAGAGTGTAAAATACACTCTTTTGGTGAAAATT